TCCCACCCTTTCTACCTGGTGATGGAGGACGACGGTTCAGCCCATGGGGTCTTTCTGCTGAACAGCAACGCGATGGGTGAGTCCCGTGGAGGTGCCGGGGCGAGGGCTCAGCCCCATCTCTGTCCTCAGCTGCTTCTTCCTCTGGCACTTGTGCTTCCCCAGACGTGCTCCTGCAGCCCAGCCCGGCCCTGACCTGGCGCACGACGGGCGGGATCCTGGACTTCTACATCTTCCTGGGCCCCGACCCCAAGAGTGTGGTGCGGCAGTACCTGGATGTCGTCGGTACGGGCGAGCCATGAGCGGGGGTGTGGGTGCTGTGAGCAGTGTGGCAGAGCTGGTGTGGCAGAGTGGGGCTGTGGGGCAGCGTGATGCTGGGCCATCCCTGCCAGCACCCACCCTCCGGCTTCCAGGGTTCCCCTTCATGCCCCCGTACTGGGGCCTGGGCTTCCACCTCTGCCGCTGGGGCTACTCCTCCACCGACATCACCCGGCAGGTTGTGGCCAACATGACAGCAGCCCGCTTCCCCCTGGTAGGTCTGGGCTAGTCCCTGGAGCCTCTGTCCAACAGTGGCCATAGGGGAGTTAATGGGAGCCCCTGTGGGCGGGGGTCCCATGGCACTGTGCAGGAGTCCCTGCTCCACCCGTGTCACCATTCACAGGATGTGCAGTGGAATGACCTGGATTACGCAGATGCCAAGAGGGATTTCACCTTCAACAAGAAAAGCTTTAAGGACTACCCGGAGATGGTGCAGGACTTCCACCGCTGCGGGCTGAGGTACATCATGATCGTGGTGAGTGACACCCACACGGGTGGGCCAGCACTGGGGCTGCAGCTGCCCCAAGGGCAGTGATGGAGCTTCCTCTGTGGAAGGCAGGGCCGGCCCTTCCCTGCCCTTGCTGGTGAAACCCTGGCTCTGTGCCCTGCCAGGATGCTGGGATCAGCAGCTCGGGACCCCCTGGCACCTACAAGCCCTACGACGAGGGACTGAAAAGAGGGGTGTTCATCCGAAATGCCACAGGACAGCCCCTGGTCGGGAAGGTGTGTGTGGGAGCAGCCTGAGCCCTGCGGGAGGGGGGTCGAGCAGGGCCATGGGAGCAGGACCCCAAGGGCCAGAGGGAAATGCTCAGGGGGTGGCTGTGATGGAAGGCAGGGTGGTATGTGGGGTGGAGGGCTCTGCCCACTGCTGCCTCCCTCCCGCAGGTCTGGCCAGGCCCAACCGTCTTCCCGGACTTCACCAATCCGGAGACTCACGAGTGGTGGCATGACATGGTGAAGGACTTCCACGACCAAGTGCCCTTTGATGGCATGTGGCTTGTGAGTGGCCCTGGCAGAGCTGCTGGCTATGGCTCCCTGGCTCCCTCCCTGCACCTCCGCTGGGCCCCAGTGTGGCAGGGAGGGCATCCCGTCCTTTCCCTCCCCAGGACATGAATGAGCCGTCGAACTTCGTGGAGGGCTCCCAGGATGGCTGCCCCCAAAACAACCTGGAGCAGCCCCCCTACGTGCCAGGTATGGGAGTGGGTTCCAGCCCTTCCCGGGGCCGTGGGGACGCTGGGAGGATCCCGGAGGACGCTCCGGTCCCAGCTGGGTGGGCTCTGACCTCGCCCTTGCCCCCGCCCGCCTGGTGCAGGCGTGTTCGGGGGGCGCCTGCGGGCCGGGACCATCTGTGCCTCCAGCCAGCAGTTCCTGTCCTCCCACTACAACCTGCACAGCCTGTACGGGCTCACCGAGGCCATCGCCTCCCACAAGTAAGCCTGGGGCTCCTGCTGGGCTCCTGCACATCCCAGGGGATGCCAGAGCTGGCAGAGAGCCCCAGCGTGGGCAGTGTGGGCACAGGGAAGGCACTGAGCGGGGAGGGAGGGTTTGGTGTGTAACAAACAGTGTGCCGTGGGAGCTGCTGAGCCCCTTCCCTGTCTGGGCGGTGCTGAGCAGACCCCGCTCTGCCCTCAGTGCACTGCTGAGGGTCCGGGGCAAGCGCCCCTTCGTCATCTCGCGCTCCACGTTCGCTGGGCACGGGCGCTACGCCGGGCACTGGACAGGGGACGTCGGCAGCAACTGGGAGCAGCTCTACTACTCCATACCAGGTAGGCTGTGGGGCACTTGGGGCACATCCAGCCCTGCTTCCCTCCTGTGCTGCCCCTGCAGCCGGGGGCTTCTCCACAGGCTCTGTCCCCCCAGCACCTCAGCGCCCGCTGTGCCCCCTCCACAGAGGTGCTGCTCTTCAACCTGTTCGGGGTGCCGCTGGTGGGTGCCGACATCTGCGGCTTCGCGGGCGACACGTCCGAGGAGCTGTGCGTGCGCTGGACACAGCTGGGCGCCTTCTACCCCTTCATGAGGAACCACAACGACCACGGCACCCGGGTGAGCCCCGGGAGCCCTCACCCTGCCGGGCAGGGGGGCTCTGGGATGAGCGAGCGTGCATGGGAAGGTGGCTGGTGCAGCTGCAGTGCCACGTGCCCTCGGTGCTGGGCCTGGGCTGGGAGAGTCCATCCTGCACCCCAGAAATGCACCCGCCCTTCCTTCCTGTGTGGTCTGAGCGTCCCCCTCGGGTCTCTCCCCCGCAGCCACAGGAGCCCTACGCCTTCAGCCCGGCCGCCCAGG